TCGGCAGCTCTCAGGCAAGGTGGGCGGGACAGTGGAAGGGAGGCAGGAGAGCGCTTCTTCGGAAACAGGCTTTGTAAAGGCAGGATTTTTTGGCAGGATATCCTGTCTTGCTCATGGTCACAGAGAAGCCTGTTTTGGGTCTTTTAAGGAAAAGCAACTGAATCCTCATAGCCCAATCTCCAATCAGCTTCTCCACCCATTCCAAGCCCGGACCCTCAGCCCCGCTGCCTCCCAAATTAGACCTTTTTCCCAGCACAACTGCATTAGAATCCTTTGCTCTTGGCCGGGCGCGGTGGCTCACACCTGTAATCCCAGCACTCTGGGAGGCCGAGACCGGCGGATCACGAGGTCAGGAGATCGAGACCATCCTGGCTAACACGGTGAAACCCCGTCTCTACTAAAAATACAAAAAATTAGCCGGGCATGGTGGCGGGCGCCTCTAGTCCCAGCTACTCGGGAGGCTGTGGCAGGAGAATGGCGTGAACCCGGGAGGCAGAGCTTGCAGTGAGCCCAGATCGTGCCACCGCACTCCAGCCTGGACGACTGAGCAAGACTCCATCTCAAAAAAAAAAGAAAAAAAAAAAGAAAAAAAAAAGAATCCTTTGCTCTTTAATAAAATCATACTCTAGTGGGGCAGAAGCTGGAATAAATAATACAGGTGTTATTTTTTTAAAACCAAAGACACTTCCCCCTCTCTTTCATCTTTCTTTCATGTATTCAAAGTGGTCCCAAACAGGAAATATCCATATTATACTTCGGTTTTGCTAGGTTCTAAAAGGCTAGGATGCCCCCGTTCCAACTACACCCAAGTCTTCCTTTATAGAAAGAAATACTTGGTGACAGGACTAAGCCTCAAAGAGCCCTGGGCCCATTCTGAAACTGAGATTGTGCTCAGCTGAAAGAAACTTCCTCCCACAGAGTTCTTCGATGAATCATCACTCTTTGTTTAACATCCTCTCAAAGCAGACAATTGATCAGCTCTCAGATCATTGCCTGCGTGGTACCCCCACCCCCTCCATCTCTGCAATCGTTTCAGTGAGCTGAGACCCCACTCCAGGGCTCTGCGGTAGGATGCAAAGTCTCCCAGCTCTGCCTCAGCCCAGGGGGACAACCTCTTCACCTAGTGAAAGAGCTTCAAGGTCTTCTAGAAGAATCTCACACAAGCACTGGAGGAATCTCTGCGGCTTCCCATGCCCACAGTCTAGGCCCGTATGAATTTCTTAATGAGGTCCCTGGAGACCACAGGAACAGGGAAGGTCTTATGCTGGAGGGTGTGGAGGACGGTGCCAGAGGTTGGGAAGGGAATGGAAGGGAAAAACTCCACCTAACTATTAATATCGTGTACCCTTTTACACTAGAGCATTGTTTTATTTTAAAAAACACTATGTTCTCTGCTGAGTACTGCTTTATTTCTGAATGTCTCTTTTCTTGTTTTTTTAATAAGTGATTTGGCCTACAATGATGATCAGAGAGAATGTTTTTTTGTTTTTTTTAACACAGGAGTTATAGCGTATATAAAATGGAGTATTTAGAGATGAAAAGCCCTGAAGTTTAGAATTGGGAAAAACAGAAACGTTTACTAGAGCCCTGCTAATCTGATTTTTCTGGTCCTGAATTGAGGAAAAAATAAAAAAACAGAGAGATACCCTTAGAAACATACCTTCTACCTATTTGCTTAATTTAGAAAGAAAATGTACATGGAAATATACGTGTGTATAGAATATATACACACACACATCCCCAGTGAAAGTGTGTTTTTGATACGGAAGACCAAATGACTGGAGATCGTAAAACGAGGTTCTTTCTTAACCACAAGCCTGAGTCCGTGGTGTTCAGCACCTTCATGGGAATCTGTACCTGGCCCAGAGGAACGGAATTCTCTTCCTGGCTGCTCACTCCCACTCCTCTGCCCTTGACAAACAGGCAGAAGCCCCCCTCCCGGCCCTGATTTCTAGGCAAGGCTTTGATGGGACTCTCGTGTTCTCACCTGCCTTTCTCATTTGGAAAAACCGGAGGCTTCTACCGCACATCTATGACAGGTTGTCTCACAAAACATGTTTCTCCTTTAGACAATACGATCCTTGCAGAAATCGCAGAAGTGTCAACACATGCACCTAGTAGGCCCTCAGCAGACTCTTCCAAGGAATTCCCGCTCGGGCTCCAGAATGCCTGGGGTTCAGTGGGCACACCAGAACTGCAGGAATCTGGCGGGAAGGAGACAGGCCCAACGCTTTTCCTTTCTGGTTTAGAGGGGGAGGGGAGGGGAGAGGAGCAAGGAGAAGGAGAGGAAGTCTTTGTCCGGGCTCTTTGGACGAGCATTAGAGTAGAGTTAAATTGTCAGCTAATGAGATTCCCTAACCACGTGCTCCCTTTTAAGTCTAGGCCCCCAACTGATTTGATCCCCACACAACAGGGAGGGGGGGGGCGGGGAAGAGGCCTTCAGCATCCCTAAGGGCGCGAGAATTCCCAGAACAAGTACAAGAAGGATGGGAATCATTTCTGAGAGCTCAACTTTAAATAGGTTATCATATTTATTAATTGATATATAGCAATAATGCTACTGGCCATGTTCCACATCAACAGCTGAATATGGGGTTCACGGGAGTCAAATTGCACTCAGGGTAACTGAGGCAGACCCAGGGGAACAGAAGAGACAGAGCGCAATCCTGAGGGCTTCTCCAACCACTGGATAGCCTCCAAGTCGAGTTTATGTTTGTTTGTTTGCTTGTTTTGGCTGGCAAAGGCCCCTGGGGCCTACATTCAAAGAATGTTTTTGGACCCAATAATTTATTCCAACAAGCAAAAGGGTGTTAAAACAGGAAGTTTTTTTTTTTTCCAATAAAATTTTAGTCTGTCGTTCAGCCTGAGATCATCTTTTTAAACTATTTATCTGATTATGGACTGTTATTATTTTGCTTTGTTTATTCCCACACGAAACTGATTTCTCTTTTTGCCTAAAGAAAAGTAGCAGTGCAGAGCTAGTGGAGGAAAAACAAGTCAAAACACATTCACGACATTTTGAAGATATTCAGTGAAATTGATTCTCTTCTTCTACCTTCCCTGCTTAGTCAACAGCCTCCTCCTCAAGTTTTATTTCTCCCCTATTCAAAGATAATTACTTAGCAACGTCGATGTTTACCATGCAAAGGCTTCCACCCTCCCCAGCCCGGCTTTTTACCTTGAGATACAAAAGAGCATATGCTGGAAACCAGCAATTTACCAAACTTCTTCAGCTACAAGGCACAGCTTAAATTTCATCTCTCCTAGAAAGTGTTCCCTCCCAGCCTCCAGACATCTTTTTGTTCAAACCTCCCTCCTTCCTGGACTTAATCACTTTCCACAGCAGTCATTGGTTCACTGGCAACTGCCTTCCACCTGGAAGGGTTTTTCCTTCTCCAAACCCAGGTCTGGGTCCCAGCAGAGTCTTGAAGAAGAAAGAAGAAACAACTAAAACCTAATGGAAATTCAAACACATTTTTAAAAGGGCTGTAAGCGATTAGATAAGTCTAATTAAACCTAAGGCCAAGTAAAACAAGTCCTGTTTGAGCTGAGAACAGCAGTCCTTCATGCCTTTTATAATAAAAAGAAATCGGGGTTAGGGGAGTGAAGAACGCAGAAAAGGAAAGGGACAAGGGGTCATCCTCTATTACAGATTTCCTCTAACACACAATAACATCAACAGGACTCCAGTGTTTCATACGTGGCTGTCACTGTGCTATGAGGTTAATCTGTATGGTCATTTAAGCCCCGCCCCCCTGGAGACTACTCCTTATCCCCACTTTACAGATGCGCAAACTGAGACGAAGGAAGATAGAGTAGTTCGGCCGGGATCACCCAGCTTGTGAGTGACACCGGGCAGGTACTGGAACCCGGGTTTGTTTGACCTCAGCGCACAGGCTCTTAACCTCTGCTCCAACTCAAAGTATGCGCCAAGTCAGCGTGCATGGGTGACCCGATCCGGACGGCTCTGGCTCGGGATGCGGCACAGCTGTCCCGCGGGGCCGCGCGGGTGTTACCGAGGCGGGCACAGACTGCACAGTGTCCCCAAGGGCTCGCGCGCGTCCTTCAAGACCTGCCAGCGCGCGGGAAAAGGCAGGCTCCGAGTCAACCTGGGCTGACCCGGGGGCTAGACCAGAAGATGCCACTGGAACCGGGTGAGCGTGGCAGAGTCGGCGCCCCGAGGGCCGCCAGCCTGGGCCCAAGGCTGGGACACGGGCGCCCCCGGGTGCAGGGGACCTAGAGGCGCCGTGCGCGGCGGGGGCTGGGCGCGAAGGCGCCGGGACGGCATCTTTCCCCTGCAGCATCCCGCCCCGCGGCCGGGGGGAGGGGGCGTCACCTGACAGCGCGCACCAACTTCTCCAGGTTCGGAGGGGGCAGGAGGCAGCCGCTGGGGCTGGGGGCGCACGGCACGCTGCTCTCGCCCAATGGCGAGGTCTGTAAACAAAAGCGGGCCCCACGCGGGTCGCCAGCCGGGTGGCGAGGGGCGCGGCGCAGCAGCATCGCAGCGGCAGAGCTGGTGAGAGGGCGAGGCGGGGACGGGATCGGGCGCGGGGACCCAGGGCACGGCCCCCGGGACCCGGCCGCCCGGATGAGGCATTGTCTGCACACTCGCAGGATTCCGCTTTAAATGCCCCCCTCCGGGGGTTCGTCGCGGGTCCCAGCTCCGTGCGCCGGCCCCCGGGCTCTCCGACCCGTGAGCCCGGCCCCGAGCGCGGCACGGATCGCCAAGGTGAGCGCCCAAGAAGCGTCGCCGAAAAGCCAGGCCCGGAGGTGCCTAAGTCAGGGACCAAGACGCAAACATAGACACAGGGACGCACACGCACGCCCTCCCCGAAGTTGACAAAAATCAGTCGATAAAATACAAAGTGCTGCGGCCGCCGCAGGTCAGCGCTGACCTCCTGCTGCCGAGAGGACCGAATGCCGACGTCCGGACGCTGTCATTTCCATCCGGCGCCGGGCACCTGGGCTGCACTGTCTCGTCTCCCTCCTTCGCGCGAAGGATGCCTCCTCCTGCCTCCCCTCCCCGGATCTCCCCACCTCCCAAGTGTGTGAACACGAAAACAATACGTGGAAAGCCCGATCGGGGGGAGCTAGGACCCGCCGGGAGCCCCAGTGTGCGGGAGATGGGGGTCAGAACGTGCCCGGTACGGGCACCGAGGCTCTGGGCATCCTCGCCGCCGTCCGCCGGGGCGGCT